ATTTAAAAAACCGAGCTGGTCTGATGGGCGCGCGGGAGCGTGTTAGGGGATGAAGGGACACATTCGCGCTCCTAGCGAAGATGTTTTTCAACAGTCAGAGGGATTGTTGGCCTTTTCAAAAAGTTTCATCGATATCTGTGGTTTAGTTTCTTTTACAATGGACTCTTAATGGAGCTGGACGTAAACGGATGCGCAGCGCTGCAGCGGTCGTTGTTTGTACTATGGTCGCGGGCTCAGAGACTTGCCCGGACGCGGGCATGCCCTGGCATGTTGTTCATGCGCCGGTCTGATAGAGGTCTGATAGATTCAGCGCGGTTATATTCTCAGCGCTGCCACTTCAGCACCATGTTTGTCCAACCATACCTGTAGTAGAATGTACCTTGAGTGTTGAGTGTAACTGATGGATTAGAACATGCTCTTGAGACTTATAGGGAGCTCGATAAAATTGGAAAATTGATGAATAAGAGTGAGAGCAGAGACCTGTGAAAAGCCTACCTTGCAACACTCGTTTCCAGAACGACCAGTCACCAAGCACTGTTTCCCAAACTGTTTCCTAACAGTGTTACTTTCCACATAAATTCCGCACATTACTTAAACTTTCTTCGTAACGATTGTCTTTACGTTTCGAGGCACACGTCTAGGGTGGAATAGTGTTAAAAGTGGTAAAGACAGAACAAATTTACAAAGATGACACGGCCTCCGACGCCATAGAATAATACCGACGCCGACAACGGGACGGACGCGCTACGAACCTACGAACGAAGACAAAGAAAGGCAACACAAAGGATGATAAAGAATTCTGATTCTGAGAAGTGAAAGTGAGTGAGAAGAGGGCTTGGAGGCTTGGACAAAGAAAGATAAGAAGAACGAACAGCCCCATTACCAAACCCTAACATTCTAGGCAATGTCAAGGTCGCATTCCGGTGGGGGGCGGGGGCGGATGTAGAGAACTGGAGACCACCTGCCGGTATGCTCCTAGCGCTACCTGGTGGAAAAACGATGCAAACGCTGGACGCATCGGTCAGGGAATATTTTAGACTGTTTTGACGGATCTTGGTTTTGACTCTTTCTGGGTCTCAATATTTCCACACAGATCTTGCCCTTATCCCTACTAATTTACCCTAACAGCCTTCCCCCCCTTTTATGGAAAAAAAAGAGAAGGTCCAAGGGCCTCTGCTCCCGAGTGATCCAAGCTCTGGAGTGCAGGTCAAGTAAAGTCCATGCTGCATAGGTTTGAACTTTTTTTTTTCACCTCCTATGAGAGGCACGAGGTTTGACGCTTTCATTTTGGCAGCGCAAGTGAGTACAAAAATCAAAATGGCAGACCTGTTTCATACTGAAAATTTACCTGAGCTAAAGTCATAGAAAGCATTTCTCATATGCAATGTAAAAAAATACCTTACTATGTTTCATAGTAAAAAGAAAACTGACTGAAATAACTCCTTGAAATTTACTGTGAATGAAAAATGAGTGGAAGAAATTTTCAGCAAATTTCAAAAGGAAAATGTTGATTAATTAGTTTTCTTCTGACAATAAAACAGAATGGAGATTTGTATGAACGCAGTAAGTAAGAGATAGGTAATCATTTTTTAATTTTAGCCATCGATGAGTAGGTGCATGTGACAGTCCACAGGAAAAGGGACCGTCCCTGGTAAAAATATTCTAAAAATCATTCTTACTGACGCTAAGCACAAAATATCTGCAAAAAATGCAAAAGAAAAAAAAGTGTAAAAATTATGAAGATTTTATTCATTGAGATTACGAGTTTTTCCATTTAATTTTTCTAATTTTTCTCCTTTTTTTTAAACAGCTACAAACCAGAGTTATGGCTGCTTGAAGTTCCCGGTCCAGAAAACTTGGTTCTTAGACGAAGCTGTTGAAAATTTTTATTTCTCATGGTCAGGGTACAAAATTGACATATTACAATGGAATTAAGTATATGACCTCTATGGCCACGAAAATCAATGAAACCTCTTACTATAATTTTTCATAATTGTGCTAAAAAATCAGAAATTTTCTTCATTGGAACACATGTAAAATATCAACACTTTATTGCAAAACCTGACGACCTTACTTTTGCACCATCATGTGGAGAGTATAAAAGAGAGCTTTCTGTTGGATTTCAACATCCAATTTTATAACCCAATTCTGAAAAAATTGCCTATTGAAAATTGCCTGAATGGACTAGAGTTCCTTTTCCTGTAGATGGCCATACTGGCATACCATTGTTTCTCAGAGACTCCATTCCAAGGTGGTAAACTTGCTTTAAATAGTTCAATGTTTTTCGAGGATATGACTGTGTAGTTTCTGATCAAAATTTCACCAGATTTCAAGAGGAATCAGAGGAAAAATGAGTAAAATTTTTGGTTAGAAAAGTCCAACAGTTTCATTGTGAAACTACGATATGAGAAAGGAAATTCCGTAATGTTGAAATGCAGTGGCGTTCTTTCATCTGGGGAACAAGGATACGAGACCGTAAATGCAGTGGCGTTCTTTCATCTGGGGAACAAGGATACGAGACCATCCAAGGGGAAAGGGATCCAAGCTTTAATATTAAAATCTAATTTTACGCAAGAAATTTGTTTTGCAGCATATTCTTAGGGATACGCTTGTGAGACTATATAAGAAGCTCAAATCTAAGATGAAATTTGAGAGAGAACACTCATTTTACAAGGAGTAATCTTTTTTTTGGTTTCGTTTATTTGAATCCCATCTTATTGGAGGCAAGAACGCTCCTCCTCCTCAAAAAAAGTTGTTCTGCAATCACACTTTTCCTGAAGTGTTTCCTTTCCTCTTGTGAAACATTGGACAACTCAACAAATTTTGGTCTGAAAACACTGGTTACAACTCTCCAATTCAAATGAACTGACTGATTTCACATGCTTGAGAAACAGCAAAAACTCCTTGTATAGTGAGGAAGGTAGAACCGTTGACGATTTCACCGTAGCTGAATGGCTCCTCAACTAGATCTGAGTAGAATTTGCTGATATTCAGAGACGTCTACCTCAAAAAAGGCACACAAAATGGTAGTTTTCAGCAAAAAAGTCGTTCTCAATAATGAGGAGAGAAATCTCAACAACCGATTCTGACAGAGATGCACTGAGTCACATCAAGTTTGAACTTTGATTCCTAAAAATCAACCACGCGCACAATCTGCATAATTTCAAACAAACTTTTTCAAGTTTTGCCTTGTCCACAGGCAGCTGTTCTTAGTTCCTGGCGACTAGCTTTGCTAAGAAAAACCTAAGATAACCTGACCTAAATGATTAGACAATCTTGCAAAAAAATTTTCCCATACCATTTCAATCGTTTAATTTTTCTTATTTGTATGTCTTGAAAAAACAAGAGCTTTGGATCAATTGAGATCGTATGAGAGAAAAGCCTCTAACGGTTGGCAAGATTTCTAGTTCATTTAAGTTAGATTTTCTTTGGTCTTTCTATGCGCAAACCTGATTTCCGCCACTGAGAAAAACTGCCTGCAAACGAGGAAAATTTGAAAAGCATGTTAAAATTATGCATGCTGCCCACTGAGGAGAGGCTTCGATGTGCCCATCATGATTCTTAAGATATTTAAGCTGAAGAGAATGTATTCACTTTGCTGTGTATCTTGCATACAACAGACCTTTTAATGAAAATACAAAAAAATTTTGTGACCATCAGAGCAAAATTTGTTAAATTCAGGTCTATTTGTTCCCAAGTACAATCAGTCAAAACGTTTCTTTCACTCTTTTCCATTCAAACACCGCTTTTTCTTAGATGAAACAAAACATGAGCTTCCAAACGTGTTTTTTCAGGTTTTTGTTTATTCAAAATTTTAACAGCAATATAAAAAATTAACTCTTGTGGGTAAACTTTAATTCTCCCATTGTCAACAAAATAACAACCTATCATTAAAAATCTTAACGTACACAAAAGAAGACCCTGTAAAATGAGACATACATGTCAAAAATATATCTTTACAAGGACTAGTTGGTGCTCAAATATTGTAACTAAAACTATTCAAAATGTTTCAGACCTATCAATCGCCAACAGTTCAATTTCAGGGCATCCCACTAAACCGGTTCAGCACTGTAATTACCATGTCTCGAAGCCTCTGAAACATGTAAAACGCACATCTTAAAACATTAGATGATCCACTAATACATAACATTTTAAAAAGAGGGTTTGTGGCCAAAATAAGATTCAATAGTAGGACTTGAAAAATGAAGAGATAATAATTCAATGAAATTCACCAGATGAAATCTCTTTGGGGTCTTAATGAGATTATTCATTGCCTGAGAAAGAACAGGTAAAGTCTACAGGTCTGTTTTATAACTTCATAGGCATTCTTAAACACTACTTAATGTTTGAAATTAAGAGATGATTCTGACCGTCTGACCGTAATAAAACATATTTTATCCAATATGATATTTTTTCATGCTGTTATTTCTATGTTTTTTAGGTTTAAATATGACTGTTTATGATAAAAAGAATCTTAAAAGTTTCTAAATGAGGCTATTACATGCCACAGAAATTAGTAACTTCAGTGCTTTGTCTTCGGTAAAATTTCGCGATAAACATGTAGGTGCCATCAATTTTTTCTGAGACAAACCCCTAAGCTGCAAAAAGGTCTTAAAGTTGAAGCTGTAAGAGGAGATCTTATACACTATGAAAGAGTCCACCTTGATATCTAGTCGAATTTTTCATACATAAATCGGGAACAAATACATTAGCAGGGTTGTCACTCTGCCTGAGTGAGGACTACTAGACTGCAGCCATGACAACCCTGCTAATGTAGGTATTTGCTACCTATTTGGATATGAAGTTTTTGACTGGATATAGAGTTGTGATCGCTCATAATGTGGGGGATTTTCTCTATTACGGCCTCATATTGGAGAACTTTTTATGAGCTTGGGTGTTCCCTTCAGACTTCAGAAGAAACTAGTGGCGCAATAAAGTTTTTCTCAAATTTTTAAAAACTGCGGCAAAATGTAAAAAATTTGTAAGCCCAAAAGATTCAGAAATGTCGCCAGATTACGGAAAACATCTTAAAAATGTCTGGATACCTTTAAGAATTGAAGCACTAGGTGAGAGAGGGGCACTTCTTGGTTGCGGCATTTCTGAATCTTCTTTGCTAATTCATGTCTTAGAAAACAATCTGATGGGTGATTTTGCTGAAAATTTTTGTGAAAAACATCGTAGAATCATGAAAAATATTCAGCAAAAATTTCGATGAAATACATGTACTCACTTTCCTCACAACGATTGAAATATCAGTCTAGATTCTGAGAGACCACAACTGAGCAACCCCTTTCTTGCACCCAGCGCCTCGATTTTAGTGAGTTTTGACGAGATCAATTTTTGTCAAGTTTTTAGTTTTATTTTCTCTTTTAACAAAAATAAAAATACAAGGGCAAATCGTTGGCAGGCCATACATTTTTTCTTTCTTTGCGTCAAAATATGATAATTTAACTAAAAATCAAACATTATTTTTTTACCTGAGGTTTACAAGTTTCTTCAAGCCAACTGAATATACTAGCGGATAGAACATCAAAATTGGCCACGCTTACGTTGCAAAAAGTTGTGTATAACTCCTCCATGATATTCTGAAACTAAAAAAAGGAATCATGTCTTGATGGCTAAAAAATAAGTAGTTCAGTTTAAAATAGCATTTTCAGATAAAAATTTTAAAATCCTGCAAATAAAGTAGGTGCCATACTTATTTCGCTAAATATTCCTGAGCTCAGAAAGGTAAAGCCAGTGCAACACAATGAGAAAAAACTCATTTTTCAGATCATTCTTTTCTACTTGTGTAAGAATGCTTAAGAAATTCGAATTTTTCTTCGAAAAAACAAACAGCTTAAGGGCAAATATCAGCTGATAAAAAATTAATGTAACTAATTCCTTGGCTTATATAATTTTAATGGGAAATTTAGGAAAGCCTTACAAGAGGGGTGGAGGCAGTGGGGGTTATAAAATTCGAAAAAAGTGCTTTATATAATTTATGGACAGCCCCTCATTTTATATTATAAAGTGAGTATTAAATATTTGATGATGAAGGACTTTGTGATATGTATACTGAATGTTGATGGTGAAACTCTCAAACTATGTATCTTATTTGCTGTGTTTAAAAATATCAGCTTCTACTTTATTTATTAAAGGGAGAACAACATCATTTCTTCATTGCGCGAGGAAATTAACATCATTCCTAGAGGTTTTTTTTAGACAAGAGAAGAAAAATAATGGAAGTTTTTATAAATTGACGTTGAATAGTTCTCCATTTGAAAAATAGAGATTGATGGGAAGTCTGTGACCTCTGGAAGTTTGGGAGTTTCACCATTGATATGAGTTACTAAAATGTGACTGCTTACGGAAAAAGGAATCTTGATGCACAAAGAGAGAGCAAAGTAATTCTTGTCCTTGAAAGAGCTATTCTCGTAAGTTTGATTTGAAAATTTTAATTTAAGCTTTTGATTGATGAGAAAGACTCTCCAGTGGTCCAATGAAAAAGGTGTAAGCAGTTTCGTTTATTATTATGCTAATAAAAGGTGTTAAAGACCCTGCTTGTAGAACCAAGGGGTTGGGCCCAGCTTTTCATTATTATTTGATATGACGTTCTGAACGACCTCCTGGGCCCAATAAGTTTTAAAAACAGAATGTTCTGCATGAATAAAAAGATAAAGATCAACCACAGTGCATTGCCTACAAAAACTAATCTAATACAAATGAAGGATGAAACTGCCAAAACATGTACGTCAGTTCAGGAAGTTCCAGACTTCCTGTCATTATTAGTTTTTTAATGGACAAACACTCTACATCATTTCTTAAAAACCTCACTCGTTTTTTCTTTCTCTGTGAGAAATAGTGTAAGAAAATATTGAAGGTTTGTCCTCTTTTGATATGATAGAAATGGAGCTGAGATATTGAAACACCGCAAATGAGGTATCCATTTTAGTAGATTCACCACGGAAATGATAATACTGAAATGAGTTACCACTTGAAATTTGACTTGGTCTGATATACGAGTTTCAGTGTGGCCGGGGGTGCTTTGCTGGGCTTTCACCATTAGTTCGTAGTTTGCCTGCATGATCCTTAATGCCATGACTTCTTTTCTGAGAGCATTCCTTTCTTCTTCTAACATTTTCTTCTGCCGTAATAAGAACTGTGTAGGAAAAAAAGAAAAAAGATGAAGATAGATGCAAAAGATGTAGGGAAACTGGGATCTATGGTAAAACCTTATTGGACCACTTGACAAGGTACGAAATTCAACTCTATCATACCAAAATTTCTTGCAGAACATGTTGAACATATTGAAAAATTCAAAAATAGATTCATAAGAGAAATAAACGTTTGTACTCTACATTATGAACAGCGCTTTCCCCTTCAACCTTCAACTTCCCCTTCAAGAGAAGACAACCGCCAACAAACGCCAAATTAGGCATTGAAATCGTCCTATGCGTTAGGTTTTAGGTCCATTATCGAATAAGTAAATTATCCTTCTTGCAATTTAAAATCTAGGACTAGACATATTCTAACTCCAACTAAAAAATAATACTTTAATACCTTTTCTAAAAAAACTTTTAACGGAGGTCATATATTTTTATCTATTTTCTTTGAGCGTTGGTTGCTATTTACATAAAGAGACAGTTTCCAGGAGATATATTGATGAAAATAACGGAACATGCAAGAAAAACCAGGAACAACTACCTAAACAAATTACTACTCCTGACTTCCTTATTTAATGACATTTATAAAATTTCCTGGGTTTAACTCAGATCTGTTGCTGAAAAACATTAAAGAGAGCAACTTGGTTATTCGCCTTAAAATTTTAATTCTCTGAAACTTTGAGTCAAACCTGGATGTAGTCAATTGATTTCTGGAGAACAGTTGCTTTGCTCATTTTATAACTGGATGCATCTGTTGGTTGACATGTGTGAACAAGATCTTGAAGGGAGTCGTAGCCTTTCTTAATTGCATCTCGTCGCTTTTGCTCTGCTTGTGTGTGTGCTTCTCTCCTGCGTTCCTTGTAACTGATGGGAGAGCCTTTCCCTTCACTATCATCATCCTCTAGAATAGAAACGCTATTGTTAGATTAGAAATTGATTTTTTCACGCATACAAAACTATAGGTATAGGCAGTTTCGTTTTTGCATGAAACAGCATGGTTTCCATGATTTCTTCATTTTCAGGTTCCCTCGGTTTCTCTGCTTTTCCTTTTCTCTACTTCTAAGATTACCGTTTCCTCTGACTTTTCCAGACTTTTCAACAAAACTTCTGCTAAGTCTATCTTCTTTTCATTAACCTGACTTCTGCTAAACCTCTGAACTTTTCCACTTTTAGAGATTTAAATTAGAGGCTATCATGCTCTCTTAAATTGACTGCGTTAAGCAGAAAGGAACCAAGCCACGCTTTAAACTTTCAATAATCAGCCTGCAGATCTTAATACTATTACTTAAGAAGCAATTTGGTGCATTCTCGATATACTTCCATTATTACCTGTGTTTCACTATTTTATTAAAAATATTTCCTGTTAGTAAAAATACAAAGTACAGGACAAAATACAAAATACTAGTACAGTATAACAAAATTGGCTGAATTTCTTCCATGTATCCTTCTCTCTCCATTGAAACCAATGATTTAGACTGGTTAAAAACATACTGCCGAAGTGTGAATTTTGGTTGAGTTGTCTCAAAATTTCTGCTCAGATTTTAATTTTCAAGGGGAGACTTAACATACGTCATGGCTTGAAATTTTTACAGAATATTCTGCACACAGAGAAGAAAAATCACCAAAATTTTCAGGAAATGACATTTAGAAGTTAAAATTATGGAAATGTTACTGACTTTTTTCAAACCTATTATATCTTTGTGTGTTTTTAAAAAAATCAAAGATACACATTGAAAAAGAATGACAGAAAAAGGAAATTTGTAGGCACCCAAATTCATGTTTGTTTTTGATATGTCTCAGGTGCAGTCGCACTTCCAAAGATAGATAATGTCTCAGGCCCCATTCACATGGTTCAACTCTCCATTCAACATTTCTTCCTCTTTCTTTTAATGCGTAAGTGCACCATGGAATACCGACACAAGAACACGACAATCGGATGAAACTTGAACGGAAACTTGAGATGCTGTCAACCTCCACTATTCGTTTGACGTTCCATCCAATTATAGTGGGGTCAATTCTGAGAGAGAAAAACACACAAAAAAAGCAAGGGGGAAACGCTGATCAAGTGATCCTGCTGGTTTGTCAAACTTTTTCCCTCAGATCGGTCAAACATCGAATCCCCATGACCCTCCGGGATCAGTTACACTCTTGCTCATTTCACCCGAGTCACCGATGGGATGGGAAGTTGAAACAAAATTTTAAATCCACATTAGCCAAAGCCGCAATCTAGGCAAATCGGAGGTTGTCCGATGAAATGCTGAGCCCTGTGAATTTCGCTTTGTTTTCAAGCTAAGTAAAAGGTCATGAATGTGTTCAAAAAATGTTTTTCTTAAAATTAGCCTGCTCAAGAACGCCCTCATAGGGATTTAGAGTGGCATTTAGTACTTTTTCTGGAAATTTTTACTTACAAAATGAACACTTGGACCTGAACTTTTTGGGAAATTGTCTTCAAGTTCATAAATTCTTTTTGATTTTATTTTTTTTTAATTGTATAGTTTGTTTGAAAGATACCCATAAATAATTCTAATATAACTAAAATCTATCCGATTACATACGTTTTCGCAAATTTTTATTACAATTTATCTTAAGAAAATCGGAATTTCCTTCATCATCACATGCGAGATCTAGCCAGCAGCTGCAAAAAATGCTTTGAACGCAATGCGCTGACTGAATTTGATAGATGCCCTTCTGATATTTCCACAGATCCATTAGTTTGACATGTGAAAGGACTGGAAAATTATTTCATTTATACCATCACAATCATCTTGTGGGGTGGCTGAACTCCTGTTCATCCTGTGTAATATGTGGCAACAACTCAATTTTTCAATTCAATTTATTAATTCTTCAATTTACACAATACAATAAAAATACATAATCAACTTCCCTCATCCAGGAGGTGACTCGTGTGGATGAGGCTGTTATAAATAGGTACATACATTTAATTTAAGTTTAAATTTTAAGCAAACATAATGTTGAATACAATATAGAAATTTGTATCCATTTTTTTTTTATATAAAAAAGAACAACTAATTACATTATCTAATTACATTAGCTAAATAGATTCACAGGTTGGCAAGGCCCTCGTTCCTATTTCCTCTGCTTTCACATACCAAACACAACAATATATGTTACAGAAATGAGTACAAAACACTTGGATTGCACATTGCAAGGAGGAACCAAGAGAATCTCAGTGTCGCCATGATTGTGCAACTTGAGACTTAGCCAGAATCACTTTTCCAAAATCTAGCAACACTGGGACGCTCCAGCCCCCCCCCTGCCAAGCGCAATCCAACTGTTTTGTAAAATAAAATACAATTTATTATTTGCTATAGGTGAGCTTACCCTAGGATTGATTTGGTAACTTAGATGATTGACTTGACTGTATACCCCACATTTCTTTTTGAGACTTCGAGTCTTGGTTGCTGTGCTATTACTTGGCTCGGATTTCTGATCTCATATTTTATTTCTCTTTGAGGGAGTGGCTCGGATTGGAAAAGCGGTGTTAATCTTTTCAGCTCCCTTTGGTAAAGTTCATGGAAACCTTTAACATTCAACAAGTCGTATAATTCTGCCGATGGATAGGTCTGGGGTAGGTTTAGGATAGTCTTTATTGCCCTTCTTTCAAGTCTTAAGATTGGCTTGAGGATGTTGCTACTTGCGCCTCCATAGACTGCTATGCCATAATTGAGAACAGACTGAAAGAAGGACATAAAGACTATCCGCAGAGAGTCCAGGCTAAGGAAACGTTTCAGAAAGATGATGGAGTATATGACTTTGCTGAGCTGTCCTTCAATTTTTTTGACATGCTCGCTCCATGTTAATCCTCTGTCTAACATTATCCCTAGATATTCTGCTTGATGTTCTAGTTTGAGATACTCGCAGTTACAATTTTGATTTGCTTACTATGTAAAGAATCTCAACAGATTTAGACTTTTCAGACAAATTGAGAATAATTCTTTCCGCCTTGAAAGAACGGATTGCATTCAATGAGAAAACATCGCTGATTAACCCACAGGAAAGGAAGAGCTATAGGGAAAAAACTCGGACCTCCATAAGAGCGATGCCCTGATACCTAACATTTCATGTCTTCAGACGAAAAATTGGAATGAACTCATCATCTCGGTGACTCAAAAGATGGGGTGAACTTTATTCCCCAGCTTCAAAAATTACGTGCAGGTGTGGATTGCGACGGATTTTTGCTCCACGAAATGCGGCATGCATAGGAGCTAGACTAGTATGATGCTCTAACTCATAGTTGAAGAGTTCGCATCAGCTTACATTAGAAAAAATTGGTGACCAATGGACGGGTCTCCACATGTATGTACAACGCAGAGAAACTACAGCGTAATTAGGTTGAATAGCACATGGAGTTATAATTCATTCGCTGTAGAAAATAAGAGGGGGGTGGCACAGAATGTCCATACAATACCTCCTAGACTGACAGTCAGTCAAGGTTATATTGGTCCATCTTCACCGTCCGTCCCACTGCAAAACTCCAATATCAAGGTAGTAGATTGGGGGCTTGTAAAGTCTCAAAAGAAGTAAGGTTTAGCACTAATGTAATGAATTTCTGGATAAGGATCTGCGAAAAAACTTAGAAAATTCGTAGGAAAATATGGAACTTGCACGTAGACGGTAGGGACGTTCGGAGAACTTTACTTAAAGTTATTTTATTTTGATTTTATTTCTGAAAATTAAAACCGCGAACCACGTGGATACACAAAACAAAACCAAAGGTGTTTGTTTTTAAACATTGCCAAATTGCGCAAATTGGTTCAAATTGCTACATTTTACTAATTATTCCTTCTTTCGAACAAAAGGAATTTTAACGGCAAATTCTGAACCAGACGCTTTGATTGGTTCAGAGCGGTTCATTCCATTTATTTCGAGTTGAACCAAAATAAGCGGGAATTTCAAATAATTCCGGATATCCTGTTCAACCAAACGTTTCCGTTTCTGGTACAGTGTTGCCAGTTGAACCCAACACATAAAACTGACAACACTGTTTACCGGAAACGGAAACGATATGATAAGCAGGATATCCGGGATTATTTGAAATTCCCGCTTATTTTAGTTCAACTCGGAATAAATGGAATGAACCGCTCTGGACCAATCAAAGCGTCTGGTTCGGAATTTGCCGTTAAAATTCCTTTTGTTCGAAAACAGGAAAAATTGGAAAAATAATTCGCGGGAAAGCGGGAAAGCGGGAGCAAATGAATTTTTTAAGGTTAGAGTTAGTTTTAGTTAGAGATTTACTCATTGATTTGGATCAAAGAGTACATAGAGTCGTAATGTAAGTGGGTGAGCTGGCGTCACTTTTAAGCATTATCCAGGTCCCGAATTCCGAGACTCCTGAGAGACGCCGGGTCACTTTTTTAATATATAATCGATTGTTTGCAATACACAGATTCCCAGCCATCCAATGTAAACAAAGAAGAGAGGAATCACCACGTATTTCACACCGTCATTTTGGATCGAATATGTATCGAAAAAGTGACCCGAACTCAGCGCACACCGGGCTCAGAACTCTTCAAGCAGAACATGGCGCCAGCTCTCCCATTTACATTGCGACTCTATATACTCTATGATTTAGCTCATCGATTGCCAAATTCTATTAGGCAATTCCATTTTTAACAAGAAAACGGTTGGGCGAATTTTTAGACTCTCAGTGAATTTTCTGCGGAGTACGAAGCAAATTCCTTGAACTTTTCAAAAGAATCAGCACAAATGCTCTCTTTTTAAAATTTAAATTGTCCAATTAAATTTGACAATAGCTGAAGTTCCTTAGTTCCTTTCTGCTAAACGTAGTCCAAATGGCACTGGCTGAAGTTAATCGGACGACTTACTGCTCATCAAAGTCCTTGACTCTCCAGGTTTTCCTGATTGCCAGAAGCCATAGAACTGATTTTTTTTTTTCATGAGCTCCTACTGATTTTTTTAATACTTCTGTATTTTTACTTGTATTTTCAACTATTTACCCAATGATAGTGATATCCACCTCAAAATTCCATGTGGTTGAAGTTCTCCTAGTGTGAAAATCAGATTAATTAAAAAGTAAGAAAACAAACCATGACCGCTGCTGCTTCCGCTGGCATTACTAGGTTGCGGCACATACAGAGATCCTGTGCTGCTTGAGCTAGAAAAAGTGTGCTTCAGTCCAAGTGGACTCACAGGTTCTTCCTTCAGATCCATGTCCTTCCTGAAAAAATCATCACTGATCATGATCACTCACCACTCACCAGGCGACTGCTAAGAATAACATTTCAAAAATTTTGCGAAAATTTTACTGCAATGTTAATTTTGACAGTAATGCTTTGACAATATTTTAGCGGGCACTTTTAGCCAGGCAGGACAAAGAGTAAGTAAGAGGAGAAGATTCTAGACGGATTTCAAACATCATACTTAGGCCAAAAAACAAATCAATGGAGATAGTCACAAGACATGCATCTCAATTAGGATATTTCCTTTAAATACTTTCAAATCTTCACTGCTGCTTTATTTGCTGGATAAAAAAAAGGGCAAACACAAATAAAAAACTGATGAACCTTGCGGCTTGACTTTTCATGGAATATTCGAAGTACATGAAGAAAAGTTCCTTAAAATTCCAGGGGATAATGTTCGTCAGCTCAAATAAATAGAACATGACAAGGAATCTGGGCTCATAAAAATGAAGATACATGTTTAAAAATTAAAGTCACATATTAATGTTGTGATCAAGAGTAAATTCCTTGATTTATCTTCGGTACATTGTCTCATGCACGGACTGTAAAGGTTTTTTTCATTAGGTATATGATCAATGGATAAAAAGCCATCAGTTTCTCCAGGGCCTCTCACAAGGAGTTACTGTTGAAATTCCTTTAGGAATACCTTCAGTATGCAACTTAGGTCACAGAAAATCTCCTTGCTGAGAAACAGGTTTTATATTTTGCAACTTCAACCTCTTTTGATTCGGTCATCAGAAATTTTTTTAATTGCCACAGGCAACAGAACTTTCAGCTGAGGCTTTTTATTGTATCCTACTATATGTAATAATAAAATACTTATACAGAAATCTGAGAACTGATGATCTAATCCTTTGCCTTCATCACCATCAAAAAGATCACACAAAACGTTTGTTCACTCCATTACAGCGATGGCCCGGGACCTAACGAGTGCCTTATCACGGTGAAATAAAAATCTAAACCGTCACTTAATTCCTGAACAATGAAGGTCTTTCAGCAATGGGTAAAGTACAAAAAATTCCTCTGTGATCTTCCACAGATGTTCTAGAACTAGCAGCTCTTGGAAGCAAAATAATTCATGTAACTTGGAATGGTAAATCATCGAATGTTACTCACCAAATTTGGAGTCAGAAGTAGGTAAAGTAACTGAGAATAAATATCTCAGTTCCACTGAAAGGGACATTACACGGCAAAGTAGGTAATTGAACGCAATTTGATTAGAAGATACACGCCTGTTATTTGTTGCTGTTATCCTGTTATCACTTATCAGTCACGAAAGAGGTTATGTAAACTAAAACAAACATCTGAGACAACCACACTGCTGCCAAGTAGTCCTATGATTGTACTTTTTTTGCCCATAACATCTCCGTCCTTTCCCTATTTTTCAGAGCTGTTCAGGTTTCTTGTAATTGATTGAGTACCTCAGACTAAAAGAACACAAATGGAAATTCCAGGTAATGGAAACATATTTTTAAAAAAAACCTTTTCCAATGTCATTATGAAAAAACCATTTACCAACACGTCTCGCAATGTGTAAACATAGGAAAAGCTTTCATCGACAGTTGGTAGTTTTACCTAGTTGAAGCTTGTAATGAACATTGTTTTTTAATTCCACCATTTTTTGTACCTACGTAGGTACGCATATATTCCTCGTTTTTAATTTAGCACAACAATTAATTAATGGCAGCAACTTTTAAAAATATTAGCAACAAAAAATAGAACGCGTTCTTAATATTTTGTTTTAGAAATCTTTTTAGTTTAGTTTAGAAAATTTAGTTCGTACAATAAGGCAATGTGGAGAAATAGTCCAGGCGCCTGGTAAGTCTACCTGGAATTTTGGGTACACAGCGATTTTTTTGGCCTACTTTATGTTTTTTGGGTCGCTGAATCCGAATCTGAAGTTTCCGCAGGCGTATCTGGTGAGCATTTTCCGCTATTTTGAAAAAATGGCCTAAAAAGGCCTTTTTTTGCGGTTTTTTTGATATAGCGGCTACGGATGAGCAAAAGTCCCGGATTTAGCTAATGTTTTGAATAGCTGACATAATTTGGAAGAAAATGGTATATACATATGTTAGGTTTGCTTAAAAATTGAGGAAGATACAGCATCGTGAACATCGCGCCTATTCACGTTTTCGCGGCGCACCCGTCAACGCGCGATCCGGCTCGCCGCGGTCAGCCAAGTTCCGAAGCGTTCTAAAGTTCCGAAATCCGAGGTTCCTCAATTTTTGAGCAAACCTAGCATATTTATATACCATTTTCTTCCAAATTTTGTCAGCTATTCAAAACATTAGCTAAATCCGGGACTTTTCCTCATCCGTAGCCGCTATATCAAAAAAACCGCAAAAAAAAGGCCTTTTTAGGCCATTTTTTCAAAATAGCGGAAAATGCTCACCAGATACGCCTGCGGAAACTTCAGATTCGGATTCAGCGACCCAAAAAACATAAAGTAAGCCAAAAAAATCGCTGTGTACCCAAAATTCCAGGTAGCCTCATTTTTAGCTACCAGGCGCCTGGACTAAAAACAATTTCAGTTCACGTAATACTCGTAAAACAGTCCAACAAGATGCTCCGTATATCTACAAATCTCAAGATTTCGACGCGACATAAAGTGCCTTCATTTGCCTGGAATGCAAAGAAGCATGCATGCAAATGTGCCGTATTGGTGTTGCAATTTACTCAAGCTCTCAGGTTCGCAACTGCGAACATACATACCTTTCTTTGCTTGCAATGTTTAGGCTTATACAAAGTTTGGATTACTTTCTACCGAACTGGACCCATTAAATATTTCACCAAAGACTTAACTTAAGTACTAGACAAAAGCTTCCACACTCACTTAAATTAGGAATATTGTTTTTTAAAGTTCTATTTCACAGGTCTAAAGGAATTTTTGTCCAAATGTCTTGTGTTGGAAAAAAAACAACAACAAAAATGGAAAAAAATAAAAACCCCGGTAAAAATTGGCAGTAGAATCTGTGTTCCAAAATACCTTAGACCTAAAGCCGGCTGTAAGATTTTCAATAGCTTCTATAGCCGGATGCACAATTTCTTATAGCCTTTTATAGCTGATGACGACTAAGCAACAGCCAGGCGATAAAGTGTATGCTAAATGTTACTAATAACGGATGCTAGGACTTATTGAGTTTTTGGACTACCGCTCTATTTTTGGGCCGTAGTATCTTGATTTATTTTGCGCGGAAAGCTGCGTACTTTTGAAGGATGCCTGCCATTCCTAATATGTTGGAGCGCCTTCAATTTCGTATGACACTGTGCAATACCTCTGGTGTGAAATAGTTGCTTCAAGCGCCGTTACTCGCTGCGGCGCGGCGGGCGGGCAGCCAGCGCGAAAAGCGCATTAGCGCCTACAAACCTAACAGGGATACTTCACGCATTGCGCGATGCGTGAGGTATCCCTGTTAGGTTTGTAGGCGCTAGTGCGCGCTTATCGCTGGCAACACGCCGCTCCGCTCTGTGTTAGGCTCCAATATGTATAATCTCGCGGAGTCAGCGTTTTTCAACTCATGATTTTGAAATGTTTGCGAATTTCTACACAATTTCTTATAGCCTTTTATAGCTGATGGCGATAAAGTGTAAAGCCCGGCGATAGGATAGCCCGGCTGTATACTTGTTTATCGCTTCGTATAGCCCGGATATATGATTTGCTCCACTTTCTACAGCCAGCTATACGATTTTCTATTGCCTTCTTTAGCCGGCTATAAGAATTCCTATGGTATTTTGAAACGCAGCTCCTATCGCCAATTTTTACCAGGGAAAGTAAATTAATGAAAAACATGAAAAACTTTACCGAATTGCACTGATCACATAGGCTGCACACCTATCCACCTGACACATTCTGGATTGCTCATGACTCAAACCACGATAGTTAATTTCCTTTGCCAGAGTAAACCATTTTAAGAGTCGGTAATAACAATAACAGAATAGAAGTAGCTTAAGACCGCTAAAACCATGACAAGAGTTATGATAGTCGACAAAATGCAGCATAAAAACCAACCGAAGTCAATGGTCACCCGCATGCCCATCGATTGATCGAAAGGCGGAAGGTCCCTATGTTTCACTTTCTTACACGTTGTGAATCGATGAAATAGAAAACTTTTCGAAGGGAATAAAGACCGCCGTGAATCTGCCGGCGCACTGATTTAAAAACTACACTGTGATAAGACAAGAGACTAATTTGAGAAGAGAAAGAGAATCATTATATTTTACCCTCGGATTGACACGGATTTACTGTAAATGGGGGCAGAAATCATTGCTATTGAGAATAAGGGTGGAAATCTGAGTGATTAAATTGTGCGAACAACTTATTTAAAACTTAGCCTATTTCAGTAAAAAATGCAGCCTGTTGGTTGTGGATATGGAAGGATCTCTCTGTAACAGCTGTTTTACCTCGGGGAAAGGAGAAAATGCTTTAAATCTATCGAAATTTGTGTTGCGCATGTCTGCTGCATTTTAAGAACAGCGAGCTTTGAAAAAAATCGGTTATTTTGGCCTTCTCTTAGATCCTCCTTGAATTTTGATGTTGTTTCCGATTAAGTGACGTTGTGACATTCATCTTTTTCTGTCGATTTTGACTCCAAGCTCGTTGCTCCAAGCAAAATTCCTCTTTGCATAACAGCGTTGCCGAATTTAAACCTTCGAAATGGGGCAAGCCAGAGAAAAGGTTAAATTATCACGTGGCGATTTGCTAATTTTTTTTTTTTTTTTCAAATACTGTAAGTGCTTAGATGCAATTTTTGAACTGTGGGTAAATTTTAGTGTACCAGAAAATTTGCCGGGGTACTGATTTTTTTGTACCTTACTCTAAAATATGAAATCATAAGAGTATTAGAGTAATGCGTCATGCAATTGTGAAATTTTGTAATTCTCACCACCAGGGTCGGATTTACCTACTTTCCGCCCATGGGCCGCCTGTATTTTGCCGCCTACTTCTCATCCGTATTGAAACATCAATTAAAACCACCAAAAGAACGTGCCAGCGGGGGAGGGGTGCGTAAGACGCGTTTACTCGTGTTGAACACATGTTTTGGGAATGCCCTGTCAACACTACTAGCAAAAGTTAAGTTTCGTAAACATATCTCTGTGTGGACAAGGCCTTTCATTCATAAGAAATACACAAAAAAATTATGAAAGAACAAACATGAATATGGTTTAATGATTTTAACTTCCACCGCCACGCCGCGCAGACCGCACCGTGTTTGGCGCAATGCGTGAAGTATTCACGCAGTCTTGTAGGCGCCATGCGTTTCACGCTGACCGCACTGTGTTTGGCGCAATGCGTAAAGTATTCATGCATTCTTGTAGGCGCTAATATGTGTTACATGCCGATCGCCGCGCCGAGGGCTTCTCCTTTTCATCTCAAGTCCTCGTCATCATTGCTCTCCGCGCCACGCCGTTCCAGGCCAAATTGCGTGTTTGGTTTCTCTCTTAACTCGACTACTTAAAGGTGCTGTCTCTTGTATCACTAAAAGACGACAAAATTAAAAATTACTATACTCTCAGGAAATATGAGATTTTGTCGCCTTTTCTCGTTTGTAATTTTTTTTTCTAAATCCGATATTTTTTAATACCCTTTAAAACATTTGCAAAATTTGCCGCCCTCTAGATTTGCCCCCATGGGCCGCGGCCCATGTGGCCACCCCCTTAATCTGGCCCTGCTCACCACACCATTTATTACCATTACATACATTAACCATTTTTATAGTAAAATATATTTTCTTTTGGGATGGATTTGTGTTTCTAAGCAAGTCTTCGTTGAATTCAGCACAAATACTATAAACGTAGCTCACGTTTATGGCAATGATTACTCCGCTGGTTATTTTTCCTTTTAACCATAATTCCAGGCAACAATAAAATCTGTAGCCTTGAGCGTGATGTTCTGATCATGACTGTCATACTTGCAGAAAAACGAAGGTGCTCTTCTTATAGTTTCCGCTTATCGGCGATGGTGCAGCGATCTGAAAGCGCAAAAAGTCAGAGTGCCTTCATTATTTCGTTTATGCAACACGCACATCCACTGAGCAGGAATAGTTTCAAACAAGCCGGGCGCTTACATCGACGACGCATCGCTGTGCCTTGATCAGGATGTAGCACTCTATCCATGCTCTATCGCATCTTCCTTAATAAATGGAGCAAATCCTAATTCGAGGTTATAATCCTCTCTTTTTCCGAAAAAACTAGATTAAGTCAATCATTTGAATTCATGCTTTAATAATAAAGCAGGAGAAATGAAATTAAAAGATAACGGAGCCTGATATTCCGA